CTCTCTCGATTTACCCAACAGTATCTTATATTCATGACTGATTACACATTCTAACTATGGGGGTGAAGTTTTGAATGCAATACGGCAATTTCTTAACCAGGAAATTCGGTTTGTGTTTATGTCTCATTGTCCGCATGAGCGGCGACAATTTACGCCCAACATCAGTAATTTAATGACGACGCCAGCAAATAGCCGACGGGATGTGCACCGTATGCATAGGTGTGAAGCTTCTTAAAGAAACGGTGTTGATGTTTCTAGGATCTTGCGTGGTCAAAATGCAGTTTGAACTGACGGGGGGAATAATACGTGGCAAGGGAAAAAAGAAACTAGACATTCTTCCGCTGGATACGACTTACCACTGAGGCTGCCCACACCTTACCAAAAAACTTTGTTCTCCGGTAGTTTTGGTGGTTTGTAGGAAAACCGGTCCACTAAATGTCGCATATCTACTGCGTCGGGACGATCCTTGCGTATTTGACAAAGTGTAACCTCGCATATGCATGACTCATTTCTACGGTAAGCGAAATTCTACCGCTTAAATCCCTTGCACTCACTATTGAGGGGCTAGGTCCTAGTTTGTCAGCCAGCTCTTACAAATAGCGCGTTCAGCAAGAATGGGTAGGGCTCTTACTCATGTCTAGGAGCCAACCCCTTCGCTCACGTTCGCTGTTCTTACGAAGCCTCTATGGGTATCATATATTGTGTAGCTTTTGACTGTCTTGGTTTTGAATCGATGACCACAGATGTGGTCACAGCCCCGTGTAGCAAGTAGAATGATATACAATTGTTAATGTTAATTCTGCTCGCGCTTGCACGATGCTACCGACGAGCAGTGTTTGGACCCTATCCAGATAGGGTTCACGCCTCTCTAGACCCCATCTCTGTGTTCTTCGTTTTCTGATCTCCAGTGGAATCAAATCACTTCCAAATTGAAGAATATACAAGATAATTATCTCTACTGTTTGCCGCCTTGTCTCATAATGTGATGCAAAATTCCTTCAAACGCGTTTTTCAATGCATTTCTGGGGGTGCATAACGAATTTAGTGAGGCACATAGAGGCACATCGGATTTATGTTTGGAATATCGAGCATTGTCGGTCGTCGTTCTGTACGCTACACTGTGATACTCACAACACTTTGAAACGTCAAAGGCTACGTGGAGGACTTGGTGCGCCATTGAACTACCGCCAATTTCGAACGCAAACCCTTATTAAGGTAAAATGAAGCGGCAACACATCGCCATTTCTTTTGCCTTCAAGTTGTACAATGATCCCAAAATGCATCATGGTAGAAATAAAAACCAGGTCATTTCTGTATTTGTTCTACACCAGCAGTGTCTTTCAAAAACACCCTCATCTGAGCGACGGAAGTTTCATTTTTGTTGGCTTTACGCTCACCGTTGAAAAGATTCAGGGGTCATGCTCCGACCTCTCAAGCCATCGTACACGACATGAGCTTTATCGACAACAATGTATTGATTGATGCCAAATCCGAACGGACGACCACAACACAGGACGCTTAATGGTAGTAGCCAGAGCGGTGTCCGTAGGCACGGGGGGCGTATCCGAAGCTACGGGCAGCGTATCCGTATCCGTAGCTGCGAGGCGCGTATCCGTATCCGTGGCTGGCGTATCCATATCCGTGGGGATGGTAGCTATGGTAGACTCTGTGGCCAAGAGAGCGGCGGTGACGGTAGCCGTGGTGGCCGTAGCTGCGGAGTCCGTAGCCGTAGCCGTGGTATCCGCTCCTGTAGCCTCCGTAGTAGGGGCCGGCGTATGAGCGGTAGCCGTGATAACCACTGTATCCGTTGCTGGCAGAGACAACAGCCATCAGGGCAGCCAGAAGCAGCAGCTGGAAGCAACGGGGGTGACATGAGTGGTGTTAATATCCTGTGTGAAGAGCATAGTAACATGCGTATTAAAGTGAAAACACAACTCTTCTCTCTCTGTGTCTTCGTTGTTTGCTTTTGCACCGGCTTGTTTTGAGCCCAGATGAATCGACTGCTACCTGATAATGTGATAAGCATTTCGAGGTATGCATTCTGAAATCACTGTTGCTACTGGTTTGAAAATTCAACAGAAACTATTGTAGTTCATCTCTTATAGAAACAAATGCATTGTAGTTCATTTGGGGTATCGTAATATATTCTAAAACCGCAGCAGCCAGAAGACCATATCAGCACTCACCGCAAGCTTGGCGTTCATCTCTGCGGTTTGTTGGAGCTCCGACTGCTGGGAGAGTGGACCAGTGTGTGTGTCTGCGGTATGTGCGCTGGCATTTATATATGTCGAAGTGGATGTCCTGACCTTGGCGGTCACGCTGCTGTGTTTCCAGCGTTCAATGTCCGACCGACACTTCGGAAGGGTGTGGTTCAGCTGCTCATATGTAGATATTATTCAGGTGTGTCTGATGTTTTAACGTTGTAGGTAAGCCTTGCGCGACACAAGGTAATATAAAGCATCATATCGATAGGGACAACGGCATGGACACCGAGTTTACCCTGAGGTCTGCCACTCTTGTGGAATTATATGGTTGAAACACGCGGTAAAGGCTTTTGCATTGCGTGACCTGGTTGACGTTCGTACCCTAACCATTCTTGTGGAACATTTTTTTGTGGAAACTTGCCGACAAACTAGGATCTAGCCCCGCTTTAGTGAATGCAAGTGATGTATGCGGTAAAATTCCGCCAACCATGGACCAATCACGCCTGTACCAGGTTACACCTTGTGATACACGCAAGGATCGTCCGAACGCAGTAGATCTGCGAGATGTAGTGGATCGGTATTTCTACAATCCGCTAAAACCACCGGAGGACAAAGTTCTTTGATAATATCTGGGCAGCGCCAGTGGTAGGTCGTACCCAGCGGAGAAGGATGTCTGATTTCACTTTGTCCTTCGTCGCGGATGCTCCCCATTCATTAAAGCAGCATTTTAACACGCATGATGCTAGACATCGCAACACTATTTTTGAAAGAAGCTGAACACATGCATATGGTGCACGTTTGCTCTGGTATATGTTGGCCTTGTTATTGAATTACTGACGTAGGGCGCAAATTGCCACTGGTGATGCAATGAATAATCAAGGCAAACTATTTTTCCTAATAACGAGTTCCCGAATTGCATCGAAATCTTAACACAATTTTGAAGTCTGAAATCAATCATAGATATAAGATACTGCTGGGTAAGCTGAGAAAGATCGGATCATAATGGTCCAAAAGTTGTGCGGTCCTTTTCACCGAGACCAAGGTATCGTGAAATGCTCGCGTAGTGAGCAAGTATGTGGTTGCATTTGTGACGCTTTATATCTTTGCTATTTTTCGAATTCATTGCCAACAATTGTCAACCATTCGACAGCCATAGCCAACTAGTTCCCGGAGTGATTCCACAAGTAAATGTAAAACAAGAGAGTCGTTCTGTTAAACTCGGTGCCCATGAAGCTGTCGACGTCAGTGTGGTGTTTCGCATTCCTTACATTGGTGCGAAATATTTCACTCACGGTAGCAACAAATACGGCTCGAAATCTTGCCCGTGACAGAAACACCTTTTTCATCCCTGTGTACCTGTATCACTGTGAAAAGGACCATACAACTAATGAGAGTTTTATTATTCGACCTCCTTCGGTTTAGGAGACGTCATCTGATGTTCGTCATTAAGTTCACATTTTGGCAATACCTTTAGATTTCCAATGCAATTCGGCAATATTACGATCAGTAAATCTGTGTTGACAAAGCGTTCACGCCCATCCAAAAAGCAAGGTGTTATTGCTCTTGCTCTGATGTTCAATGCAATCAAGACACTTTCACATTGAATCATATGCAACATATATGTTTCTGTGGTATCCGTACTGCCTTGTAAAAAAACGCCAAATGCTTTAGGTGCTTTTTGGATGCAGGTGTGGGAGTCTTAACCAATTTGGGGCATGTTTTGTCTTGCCAGGGATAATGATCGGGGATTTCACGATACGTCAAGTAGAACATACCAATTAGTGTAGTTTCTTATTTTGCATCAGATAGGTAGGACAGTAACACACTCTTAAAATGGGGAATGAGATGCATCCCCGACCTCCGTTTACACATGCCTATAGCTTTGCATGTGGCCTATGCCAGGTAATCTGGCAAAGTGATAAGAGCCACCTTTCGCTGCCAGTTTTCCAACCTTTACGGAGGAGGTACGTGAACTCAACGACCTTTTTATTTTTACTACGACTTCCAGTAACCTGTGCCTGCATACAGTGTGACAGTGGGCTGGTGGAATTCAGTCACTACTCAGGGCTTCCCAACGCTCACGTTTGTGATTTAGGAACATAATTAATTCAAGTCTGGGATGTCGAAATTGGCCTTTTGTCGTATTTGTGACAGTCTTATGCTTACAAAACTTGAAGCGTCGAAGACTGTGAAGAAATTGGTAATCCGTTTAACTACCACCAACTTTACTACGTAAAAGCGCCAAGAAGTTAGGTTAAATGAAGGGGCAACGCACCACCTTCCTTTTTGTTCTCATGCCACAGAATGATTCCTAAGTTTAGGCATAGCAACAAGCGTAGTTGTTTTTTCTACACCAATGGTGTCTTTCAAAAGCAAACTGATGTGAACGCAATAAAAGTTCCATCATTGTTGTCTGTATGCTCTTCCCTGTATGCAATCGCCATTATTGCTTTTTCGCTTAAAACAACACATACGACATGAGCTGTATCGAAAACAGTGTATTGATTGATGCCAAATGCGAACGGACGATCACAAAACAGGACGCTTAATGGTAGTATCCAGAGCGGCATCCATGGGCACGGGGGGCGTATCCGTAGCTGCGGGGCGCGTATCCGTATCCGTGGCTGGCGTATCCGTATCCGTGGGCCTGGTAGTTATGGTAGGCGCTGTGACCCAGAGAGCGGCGGTGGCGGTAGCCGTGGTGGCCGTAGCTGCGGAGTCCGTAGCCGTAGCCGTGGTATCCGCCCCTGTAGCCTCCGTAGTAGGGGCCGGCGTATGAGCGGTAGCCGTGATAACCACTGTATCCGTGGCTGGCAGAGACAACAGCCACCAGGGCAGCCAGGAGCAGCAGCTGGAAGCAACGTAGGCCACATAAGCGGCGAGAACATCTTGTGCGAATAATACAATAACAGGTGTATTTGAATGTGAATACAAGTCTTCTCTACCTGTGTTTGCGTTGTTTGTTTTGTACCGGCTTATTTTAGGTCCATATGAAATGGCTGCTACCTGCTAATATAATAAGCATTTTGAAGTATTTCGTGATGCACACTGAAATTACTGTTGCTACTGGTTCTAACACTCAACGGACATAGTTGTAGTTCATCTATCAGGTATGCAAATGCACTGCAGTTCGTTTCTGCCGCTGTCGACGTATTCGGCTTTATAGGCGGTCTTCATCGTAGCGTATTTTCACCCTGCTTAATTCTAGTCATTATGATGCACCAGACATCGCGAACTTAATGCTATCAGAGAAAGCGATCTAGCAGCCAGCAACCAAAGCACTACAGCAACACTCACCGCAAGCTTGGCGTTCATCTCTGCAGTTTGTTGGAACTCCGACTGCTGTGGGAGTAGACCAGTGTGTGTGTCTGCGGTAGGTGCGCTGGCATTTATATATGTCGAGGCGGTTGTCCTGACCTTGACAGTCACGCTGCTGTGCTTCCAGCGTTGAATGTTCGGCAGACACTCCGGAAGGGTGTGGGTCAACTGCTCATATGAAGATATTATTCAGGTGTATCTGATGTTTTAGCGTTGTAGGTAAGCTTTCATTACACTAGATGCCGTAAAACATTTCATCGACATCGACAACGGCATGGACACAGAGTTTACCTGGAGGTCTGCCACCCTTGTGGAATTACATGGTTGAAACACGCGGCATTAGCTTTTGCCTCGCGTGTGCCTGGTAGAGACAGGGCCATTTTTAAACACTGTGATTACCAGTAAGACCGCTTTTGTGATGCGTCGAGTGATGTGATTAGAGGCATGATCGCTATCACTCTACAGATCATACCCGTTGGCGGGGAGCCGGTGACCATGTGGAGTACAATCGCACTGGAACACTCTACGTTGATGTGCTTGGCGTAGAAATATGCGCTGATGGTGTCACCAAATCAATTTGTTGGGTGCTTGCAAACTGGTTGCTCATCGCCATGCTGTAACTACACATTTTCAAATGATGAAATCGAATGTTTTAAATGTCTTGCAGCCCCCTTCCCCCCCCCCCCCCCCATTGTAATAGCAACATTGCTATCTTCGCACTTGTGTGAATGACCATTTGTTACGGTGAATAGGGCTGTACGCCGAATGAAGTGTTATTACCAGTTCTGTGTCGTTTTGGCGACAGCATCTTGTGTTGGAGATTGATTTCAAACGTAAGGAGAATAAGGTCACATTTTGATAGGTCAATTTAATCTTCTGATTGATATTCCGCGATCTCGTGAATAGAAGTATTAGTTGGGATGTATGTTTCAGTGACGTTCTCGGCCGTGACCAGAGCCGAGTGAATGTGTATGCAGCGTTTTAAGGCGTTGTGTCATTTGAGTTAGATGAACTCGAATGCTCGCCTCGCGGTAATGCATCGGGTTTGGTGCGAGGCGGTGGGCTCATGCTATTGACGTTCATGTCGTGAGAAGCTTACTGGCTAGGAAAAAGTAGCTAATTGTCAGCTTTTTAAAACAATGGCGTTATGAAGCCCTACCAGTCAAAGAGTGTTTTTGCTTGAGGATGTCTCTGTAGCTTGTAAGTTTGTTAGCTGTAGCTTTAGAAGTAAACGGGGGTCGTTGCAGCGACACATGTCAATAATTCATTCTGGGCTTCCTGCTACTGAAGCGGACAGCGGCATTGAGGTAAGAGGTCGCTTATTGCTGGTTGTAGGTCCCTCACATTCCTCGTTACATCCCGGGTTTTAGCGCACTGATCGGTGGACAAGGTTGACATAAACGCCTCTAAATTATCATCATATTACACCTAAAGCAAAATGAGCATGGTAAAAGTATGCAAAAGTGTTGTTTGCCTCTGCTGATTGCAATCTGGTAGGGGTTCTGCTCTAAATAATTGGGATAATTTTAGGAAGCGCGAGTTCTGCACCGGAAATGTTTATGCAAAGATAATGAAGGTCTTTAACTCTTCCACCTGGTTGAACGACGATGTCAAGAAAGCAAAAGTGATATCATGTCAGGGGCTGATAGAACCATGCTATCGCTAGTTATACGGCCACAGGGATCCAGTTCTGCAAAAGGCAGGGGGTGAGGGGTTAAAGGGCAAGGGGGAGGTGTGCAGGGAGAAACATTTCTAAGTCTGCCCCCCGAAATGAACTTAAAACACTTTTCTCTCTAGGTCTGGCACACCTTTTCCCAGTTGGTGGCAGGGTGTATTTTCTTATCGCTAGGTTGTGGCAAGCTAAAATCCCACTAAATTATGATTAAATCAAATGATGCGAATCAAAATTAAATTAAACACTAAAATGGAAGGCCTTTAACCCTGGTTAGGAGGCAACAATACTGCTAATCTTCCCCAACACCCCCCCCCCATCCCCCCACCCCCCCCACACCCCCCCCCCACTCACCCCCCCCCCCA